TTTTTTTTTTTTTTTTTTTTTTTGTGTCATTTTTTTTAAAAAAATTTAACCCTTTTAATATTAAACTTTATGTTAAAAACGTTTTTGCTGTTTTTTTGTATTTTACTGAAATTTTCTCTTTTTTTATTTTTTTTTATTTTGTTTTTTTGTCATTTTCTTTTTTCGTTGAAAACAACTTTTGTTTCTTTACGCATAATTTTATTTGGGTATCTACGTTTCTTATAAAATGTCCACATTACCCTTCTCTTTAATCTTGAGTAAAAAAATATTTTAAAAATTTTAGTTTTGAGATTATTTACCATAAAATCGAACATTTAAATTTATAAATCCATATCAAAAGTTGAATTAATTTCCTAATAATTGATGCGAAGACTTGACCTTTTATTTTTTCATCATCAGTGGAATGACTTATTTTAATATTTCTTAAAATATTCAAAGCACGTGCTACTCTTATATTTTTTTTCAGGTAAATGAAAGTGCTTCTAGACAAATAACAGTAAATGTTAAAATGGCCATGGAGATCGAGATAGGACAATAACATGCATTGAGGTCCATAAACGAGGAAAAGGGTTTGTTTCAAAAAGAAAAAAAAAACCCATAAAAATTGCATTTTCAATATATTTTTTTCATTTATATATATATATATATATATATTATTTTCCTCTTCTTATGTTTTTTATTATTATTATTATTATTTTGCAATAAAAGAACCGCAATAATTAAAACATATGATTTATTATAATAATAATAATAATAATTTGATATTACTTTAAATCAAGTGGACTTGGTCGTGGCTCGTAGTGGTAGCTTCGCATTTGGGGCTCTAGAATAAAGTGGACGTGGTTCGTGGGCTAAGTTGATGGGCCATGACGAATAAATTGGGCTGGGCTTTTTCTTTGCCATTTAATTTGTATTATTTATTTAAACCATTAATGAATAAAAAATAAATGGCTAATTAAATATAAAGGTCTATTAAGTATCTTTATTATTTTAAATTAATTATAAATTATAAATTATAAACTTTATTGTAATATTTGATTTTTTGTTTTGTTACATTAGGCTTATAATATTATTTTTTAAAAATTAAAAATTAAAGGGTCTGTTGCATGTACGGCGTCGTTAGTGCGAGGTGGCAGATATATTTTTGCGTTTATAAATAATTACTTAAAATAATATATAAAATAATCAAATGCGTGTAGTTTTATTTATTTGAACAAATATTTGAAAATTAATTTATTTTAATGGCTTTTAATGTAGTATTTCTGGCTATATATTTAATTTCTTTACTTAATAATTTAAATTAATATTTATGTGTTCGTAACCCCCACAGTTGTAGGTGCTAAATTTCAATAGGTTAGACAAATAATAAATAAATAAATAAATATAGGAGGCATTTAATTATGGCTAATAATTAGTGTAACCCTTGGTATTAAGATTTGTGTAATGTGATTATTGTTTTTAAAAAAAGATCTGCTGACGTATGCATCCAGATATTTTGCTTAATTTTTAATTAGTAGATTGATTAAGCACTAATAAAATTTTAAAAATATTTTAAGTCAAGGATTAAAGAGATGCTTTTTCATTTATATATATAGATAATATATATATTGTAATGTAATTAACGATCGTCCGTTACTTCAATAAATTTCACTAGTTTTGTCGTCTATTGCCTTTATTTAAATCGGTTGAAGAGAGTATGATATTTATTACAAGGATGTGGAAATTTGTGCGTAACAGTATCTTATAAGGTTGATGATAATATGCAATAGACTAAATATCTGTGATCTCAAATCGTTACAAATTGTATCAAAGTCAGTCATCGAATGGAATGAGCCACTAGTCAAATTGAGGACGACCAAAAGTGGACAATATTTTTCTTTTTTCCAGTTAGACCCTGTCCATGTTAGACGAGCTTTAAAATTGTAAAGCTGACAATGACACATAACGAGCTAAAACGGACAATATATACTATGTAAACCCTCTTTATAATAGAGGTGTTTTAAAAATGTGAGGTTGACAACGAAGCCCTTTTCATAATAAATATATTTTAAAACCGTGGCTAACCACAATAATAACAAACTAACTACTAGTAATGACCTTTTACAACTTAGTGTATTTAATAATCTTTGGGAATATATTAGAATACCGTTGTCAGATCAATTTGTACGGTTTCTTCAATAATATGCTCAATATTAATTAATTAAGGGGTTTTTTAGTCAAATTAATTTAAAATAAAGTTCTAAATTCCAAAGCTATTTTCAAAGTTATGTGCATTTCTTTTTCCATACAAATTAAACAACATTGATAAACGAAAACACAGCATAAACTAAGCTTAATGTCACAATTGCACTTTCTTCTACAGTAAATTTGACAACAAGTATGACCGTAACACTTAGCTTCACCGAGTCAAAACACCAACAACGAATCAGCGGTGTCGTAATTCATCTTCTCCAAATTGGGTTGCACGGCGAACTTAATCATCGGCGGCGGTCCACAAGCCAACGCCAACAAATCGGCCGATGCGGCCGGAAGATGCTCCCTCATGATACTCTCCGACACCACGCCGACACTATACTCCCACCCTTCTCGTACACTCTCTTGCACCACATACCACACATTGAACCTCTTATCGCTCCTACTCCATTCATCCAGCTCGTCCCTCATCAAGATATCATTCTCCGTTCGGTTCGCATACACCAAGAACATCTCCGTTTCATCCTCTGGGTCCTTCAAAATCGCCTGCGCCACTTGATAAATCGGCGTTATGCCCGTTCCGCCGGCTAACATAGCTAGCTTCTTGGCCTTCTTTGGCTTGCCGTCGACTAGAAAGTGGCCGCGGCCGGTGTATTCGATGTGCCCCAATGGGCCTTTCACTTCGACTTCGGATCCGAGTGGGAGCGAGTCCAAATGCTGCGACATGAGCCCGCCGTTGGGGAATTTGGGGTGCGCGTTTTTGAAGTAGATTTTGACAACCAATTCGAAGTAACCCACTTGGTGGATGCCGCTGGTGGGCGTGTAGGCTCTCATGCATAGCTTGCCGTCAATGTTTGCGCAGAGGAATACGTGTTTACCCACCGGTAATCCAAGCACTTGATCCTCTAATGGCAGAGCGAATCTCAACCGTCTAACGTCGTGGGAGATTGCCGTTTTGGAAATCAATTTGCAGGGGATTTTCTCACGCGGGATTAGAGCCACGCGCCGCGTCTCCGTGATTGGAGCTAAATGGGGGATATTATGATTAACTGGCCCATGAACAGAGGTGTCAGGCGACGAATCCGAAGCGTAGCCGGTAGTGATCAACTCGCCGATTCGGTAATCCTCGAGCATTTTCTTCGCTTTGTCGGAGTGAATGGCGTCGAATTCTTCCGTACAGTCGGTGCCGGCGTTGATGAGAATGCTGTCGGTGCCGCCGGGATGATCCTTGAGGAAGCGGGTGCAGTCGTAGACATGGCCGTGGACGACGATCCAAGCGGATTGGTCGGAGTTGTGGGTTTTGACATCGGACATTGAGTATATGTTTGACGCGGTGTTGATGAACGGCGATGAGATACTCTTCTTCATGGTTTGGTTGTTTTCGGTGGATATCTCGAGGTGTCTCTCTTTAGCCATCCATCCGCCGGACTGGTTTCCCGGCAACGTTGGGTGTTCGAAAACGATTCCGATCTCTCCCTTGTGCGGCTTGCACATATTGGTTTTGACTCGAAACCAGCAATTGTTCATCATTCCCTGAAAAACCCATAAAGAAATTAAGTGAATTAACGAAGATGAGGCCGTGAATCAGTCAAACGCATTGATACCCACTTACCATGAGATTCCATATGAGCTTCTCCGGCTGAGTGTTGAACGTCTCATCCCAAGCGCGGACTGCAATTTCCTTCGCCGCAAGCAGGTCAAGAACCTCCACCTCCAGCGACCAGAAACACCAACACCAATACTTCCCGTATTTTGTAGCCTTCTCCGGGCTGTTCAAATCGGAGAGATGCCATGTTTCTCCGCCGTCGAGAGTCACCTCAACTCGTGTCACTTTCTTCCCCCCTCCTGTAATTACTCATTTTTTACTTCAAATTCTCCACACAATGACACCAAAAAACTGAAAAAATGACGCAAAACTCACCGGAATATGCATATCCTCTTAATGTATACGGCCGTTGTGTAGTCCATGAGTTTATTGGCAGGATTTCCTCGTGGCATGGTGTGGTTATAACAGAGTTTATGTTCAGTTCGCTGATAATACACTCCGGCTTGTACCACCAAGCTACGAATTCATAATCACCGCCGTGTTAGTTGTTGTAATGTTGAAATTAGAATTGATTATATGATTTGATTTCTGGGTTTTGTTTACCTTCGGCGTTTGCCAATTCTGCATCGACATGGGAGGGGAGGACTTTGTTGTCTCTGTAATGGTAATAGCTATCTGATTCTTTTGTGGTTACGATAATGCGTTTTAGCCATTTGACCATCCGGCCGCCGATGAATCCCGGCGTGATGACCCGAACGGGAAATCCGTGGTCCGGTGCTAACAGATCGCCGTTTTGCATATACGCTAGCATTATATCTCTACCTGGGTCCATGGCTACTTCCTTTCTCAGGCTAGTGCCGTACTTGGACCCACCGCCGCCGGGCAAACACTCTGCTCCTTCAAAGCAGACATTGAGGGCCCCTTTCTTACTGCTGAAGATTCCACAGTGCTTTAACACGTCTCGGAGTGGGACCCCTCGCCAGACCGACGTGGAGATCCCGCCGCCGCCCCAGTTGAATCCGATGGTTTTCTTAACCATATTCTGTTCCTTCCGGCGGTTACCGGCGCAGACGAGTGTGACGGGAAATTCCCGGCTACGGAAATCGTTAACGAGTTGGTCCATAGTGAACCGGGTTGGTTTTTTCACTAAACCGCAAATCTCGACGGTCCAATCGTTCCAATTCGCCTTCGGCACCGGGCCGTGGTTACGGATGTAATGAAGCGGAACCGGAGTGATGAACCCATGGTGCATCAAACGGGGTAACGGCGGCTCCGAATTGAAAGGATGTTTACCCGTAAGACGAACCATGGACGCATTTCTCTCAATCCAACCATCCGCCGTGCCGGAATCTCTCGGATCGTGAATCGACGGCTCCAATTCGCTCAACCCTTTTCGAATCAAGTCGTTGAAATCGGAATCGTTGTCGTCATCACTGGAGAAGTCATCATCGCCGGTGTTCTCCATTGCCGCCGTCTTCTTGGGTTTGGAGAACTCCGGATTGGAGGGAAAATTACAGCCACGAATGGCGGAATCCAAATGGGGAAACTGACGATTGTGGACAGAGGTAGCCATGTGAAGATGGGTTAGTTCGAGCTCCAGTCGTTTATAAGTGAAAGAAACAGAGGAGTGTTCCCTGAGAAAGAGAAATGAAGGGAGAGAACGTTTATATAGGGAACAACCCAGAAGAAGACAAGAAATCAAAAGCAAAAGCAAAGATCAAGTTGGCGATGAGGACTAAAATAATATTATAAAAAGAATGAATCATCCATAATTTGTTGAGAAGGGAAAGAGTCGGTTTGGGCTGGAGGGCTAAAGAGGCGGTTTGGTGTGCGCAGAACAGAGCGAGCCAGTGGGTTGTTCTTCAGGTCTTACATTTTGAGTAAATACCGCAGAACAGAGCGAGCCAGTGGGTTGTTCTTCAGGTCTACATTTTGAGTAAATGGTCAAAAAAGGAGCAAAAAGGGAAGGAACCAAGAGCCCCAAAGGCAGCAAAGATCTAGAAAGAGGGGCATAGCTCGCAACTGGGGGCGGGGGTATCGCAGGGGAAGGTAGGTGGGTGGGTGGGGGGGGGGGGGGGGGGGG